GGCCGCCGCCCGCGCCACCGTCGACCCCGCCCGCCTGTGCACCCCAGCCGGGACGCCGCCCCCGACCCGGTCTCCACTTCTCGGCCGCACCTCCCATGACAGCGCCCGCTCGAAGATGGCTGCGAAGGGCGCGCACGGCTCCCACCTGAAGATAGAAAGCGAGCTGGAGCGCTGCCGCGCCGAGGGCCACTGGGACCGCATGCCTGAGCTGGTCCGGCATATGCAGACGCTGGTCGTGCCCAGCGGCGGAGGCAGCCGACGAGCTGTCCCGAGCGCCGTGTTCACCTCCCGGGACACCGGTGAGTGAGGAAAGGGGCTGGTTCACAAGCTTGGAGCGCGCGAGACGCGCCGCCTCCTCCAGGAAGCGCGCCCCGACTGCCCCCGGCCGGCGACGGCCGCCTTCGGTATTACTCTTCCTGTAGTGCTGGTCTTAAGAGCAGCCAGGGTAGTTAGGAAGGTTCTGCCCCAAGAGAAAGATCTTGCAGGTTGGGTGCTTTGGGGGAGAGAGAGAAACGGCTTTTGCTTTCTGCCCTTTAGGATCATGTGGGCAACTCCGTCTACCGTGAAATGGTGGTATCCGCACGTGTCAGATCAGGGCTTGGGCTGGACTCTTGCACCGTCCCTTCACCCCCTCACCTCACACCCAGGTTTTTAAACTACATGGGGTAAAGGCTGTCTGGCTCTGTTTGCCCTCCCCCTCTCTCCCTCAAGTGAAGTTGACAGCGGAGCTCTGTCCACAAAAGACGTGGTCAATGAGCACCAAGTTAGGGCGGTGAAGTGTGAGAGGCGTGATAGCCTTCAGTTTCCTCATTTGTGGCGAGACGGAGGACCCATCTAGCCCTGGTAGTTGGTGTCTTTAGCTGTAGGGCTGGTTTGGCTGGGCTGGGCTCTTGTGCTGGAGCAGGAAAGCACCCTGATGTGGCATTAGGGGAACACCCCTCTTGGGTCTTCAACCTCAAATCCTGTTCCTGGTGCCTTCAGCTCAGCCTAGAATGCCATCCCTCAGCCCTCTGTTTCTGCACAGCCACTTCAGAGCCCTATGGAAGGAGGTGGGGAGTAAATAAATACAGATATAAAGTTTTAAAGACTGCCTGTGAAAGGCCTGTAGGGGAGAAGGAATGATAATAGTAATAGGAATAGTTAACCCTTATCTAGCACTCACTGTGTGCCATTGTCCTAAGCTCTTTAATCAACTCCTTAATTCTCTCCCAACAATCCAATAAAGCAGGTACTCTCGTGTGCCCCACTTACAGATAAAGACACTGAGGCAAGGAGAAGTTAAGTGACTTGATCATCCAGCCAATAAGTGGTGGAATTAGGATTTGAATGCAGGTTTCTGAATATATCCTTTTAACCACTTTCTCTTCTCAAAGGTATACAGCATAAAATCCTAGCTTGAAAAGTTGTCAGAATGGATGAGGAGGCAAGGAGGTATCAGAGGGCAATTAATTGTGTGTTAGATTGTGGAACTCAGAGAAAGAGGAGAGTATTTCAGGAAGTATGTGTACTGATCTCAGGCTGGTGCTGGGAAGGGCAGAGTGTATCTGCCCAATGAGGAGGAAAAACAGAAGGACACTGAAGGGGCCTAGGTAGTGGGGACAGACAGTCAGGTCGAGCCTTTGAGGTAGATCTGAGCGTGGCAGTTAGGGGCAGTGGCCAGAGCTGGTGTATATATGGGAGAAGCTGATGATCTTCAGGGCAGGATAGACAAATTGCAGGTTCCCCTCTGTCCCTTATGTGGATTGATGTGGTGGGTTGGGACTGGTGAGGGTGGGAGTGGAAACAGACCCACACAGAGAGTACTGGGGCCTGGCTGAGGTGTAGGATTATGAATCAGGTTGGTACCACGCTAGGACCAAGCCAAGAACCAGACCTCCTCCAGTCCGTACAGGGCTATATTTCCCTAAGCTGTTCTTTGGAGGCCTCAAGGATGTTGAGTAGTTAATTAATTGGTATCCCAGGAATAAAGGGTCTAGAGAGGCAAAAAAAAGTTAAGACCTAATCGATTAAATGTCATTAAACAGACTGTTTTTAAACTGCAGGACTTCTCAGAGCCTTTAATATGCTCACCTGCATGTGATGTACATGCCAAGGTTAGAATATAAATACCACATTTCTCAAACTTACCTTACCATATTCTCTGAAGCATTATTGGGAAACATTGGTTATGGCATTTTTTATAAATGGTATGATATAAAGCACTTTCTCTCTATATATTTTTAAATTTTTTTAAACAACCTTGTATGGAGGGCAAATTATTGTCCCTGTTTTAAACACAAGGACACCAAAGCTCAGAGACATCACATAATGTGTATGTGACAGAGCCTGTACCCAAACCTGAGCTCCTGCCACCAAGTTTACTAGTGGCAGAGTGGGGGACATGGAGCCTGGCCTGGCTTCAATGTGAGAATTGACCAGCACAAGGGGATTTGAGGGGTGGTGGGTTTGGTTCTGTGCGTGATTTTCTCTCTCACTGTTAAATCCAGTTGCCCTATCCCCAAATGCACACATGCACATGAGCAAGGAAAATGAATGACTCCAAAGCCCATGTGTGGAGCATTTTTTTGGATTGCCTGCTATTTTGGTTCTCTCTCCCTGGGGTTCTTGGTCACTGGAGTGATTGAGTGCCTGTATTTTGGGGGGTGTTGGCGCTGACCTCCCTACAGCCCAGGAGGGAGATTCTTAGAGTCTCACCTGGACTGCTAGACTCTTAGTGATAGGAAGCTTCAACAGTTACATAATTTAGGAGAAGGGAAGAGGGTACTGAGGGGGGAGCTGAACCCCAGTTGAATCCCATTTCACAGATTGATATCCTGAGGCCCTGCTGTATCTGTGGGGTTTTCTACAGAAACTAATAATCCCAGAGCATGTATTTTACTGCAGGGAACAGGAGGGGAGAACCCAGCTGGGTGGCCTCTTGCTGGTCTGATGTAAGTGAAGGATCAGGAGGGGCCCCTAACCCCCTTTTTCTGTCTGAGGAGGCTGCTCCCCACCATCTGCCCAGGAGGAAGGTGGTTACTGCTGTTTGTACTTTTTCTTTCAAACTCACATCCGGTTTAGATTTGGTCAGGATGGAGCAGGGGAACCCCAGAGTGTGGCTGGCTGTGATGGGGTTTGTTCATGTAAAAACAAAGAGCTCATCCAAGTCGTTAAAGAAAAAGAAAACTTTATTATGAAAAAATTCCAAAACATCAAAAAAAGTAGAATAAAGCTCATGTATCCATCATCAGCAGCAGTGATTGTAAACTCATGAACAATGAATCTTGTTTGAGATATTTCTCCCCCATTTCTCCCTCACACTGTAATATTTCAGTATATATTTACTAAATAAGAACTTATTTGAAAAATATCACTACCATACCATTATCACACACTCCAAAGACCTACTGACTACATTTTACAGTTCATTTGTTCAAATCAGGATCCAAATAAGACCACGCATCGCATTTGGTTAATAGGTTGGGTCTCTCTTTCGCCTCAACTTTTTACTGTGAAAATTTCAAACAGAGCAAAGTTGAAAGGATTTTGCAGTGAACACCTGTATACTCGCCTCCCAGACTGATATTCTTTTACTGTACTTACTGTGTCACATGTCTGCGCCTCTCTCCATCCATCTTGAGTCTCCTAATCTGTATCCACCCCCATCTATTTTTTTTAAACTGGAGGCTGTTCTGAATGTTTCTTCAGTTGAAGTTTGAAGTTAGAGTGTTTGAGGCAGGTGGCCTCTCACTAGTTTCGGTCACTTCCTCTTCTCTCTATGATTGGAAGGTCCCAACCCTCTGCAACCCTATGAAGTGAGCAGCTGCAGAGACTACTGTGTCCCCATTTGACCTAGTGAGGAAGGGCTTGCTGGCTGGACCCAGGTTTCCAGACAGCAAATTGGCAGGTTATGGAGAGGGGAGAACCATCTTGTAAATGTGGGTTCTGGAGAAGAGGCAGGTGTCCTTGAAATGGGTCTCTGACCTAGCACCCTGAGAGAGGCCTGAAGAGGATGGGAACAGAGAGGAAACTAGCTGCTAGAGGACTTCAAAACAAGGGGGGTGGTGAGACCCGGCGGCCACTAAGTGGTGGCATCATTTGGGTCTCTGTCAAAGGCAGGGGGCTGGGCTAGGCTGCCAGAACAAGTACCCAGGCTCCCAGAGTCTGTCTTAACTTTGTCAGGAAGGACTTCCTAATGCCTCCGGGAAGGGAGAAGTTGGAATGCTTTACCCAAACCGGGTAGGTGAAAGGTTTTAAACAAGATGATAAAAAGCAATTTGTTTTACTTTTAGAAAAGGACAAGAAAGCCTCTATCCACCTGAATTCTTATTTAACAACTGAAAATTTAGAACTTTTAATTTCACAATAGCCTTCAGTTTCATAGACTGGCCAGTTGAGAATAGTGGGATGGAAAGAAAAGGGGAGAAGAAGAGAAAGAATGGCACAGGGAGAAAAATTGGGCATGGAAGAAAAGAAAGTAAATTCCCATTACCTGCTGAGCGTCTACCAAACAAAACACAGAGAAACTGAGTAGGGGGTGAAGAGGAGGGCAAAAAGACTCTGGAGGAGGACCTGAGGTGTTAGCTTACAAAATAGTCTGAAACTCATGGGTGTATGACAGTGAGAACAAGTCTTAACCCTGCTCTTGGAATTACTGTCAGCTTTTAACCTACTGTTCACAGCTCTTAGATTGTTCCTTATTTCTTAAAGTACCAGAGCTCTGCTCTGCATGGGATGCAAGGGAAACGGACTTTTCTTTGCTTGTGTTATGCTATTGTTATGGGCTTTATTATCATCTATAAAATGGGAATAATATCTACCTTTAAGGGCTGTACTGATTCAATGATACTATATAATAAAGTACCTGGCACTCAATAGGGCCTCAACAAATACTAGCCCCCCTTTTTCTTTAAAAGGCACTCTTGTGGTTTAGAATAGTGCCTCTCAAATGATCTGTGGTGAAGGATCAGTTTTACATTTTGAAATTCCCAGTCCGTTGCACTGTGATACTTTTATAAGACATACAAACTACTACTCCCGAAGAATTTATTTGAGTCAACAGATTCGAAATCATTCTATCACATAATCATCAAACTTTCTGAATGTGTACTCTAAATTTCTGGACTTAACCTCCCAAGACTAGGTTTCAAATACAGAAGTGCCCCAGTCCACTAACCACACTTTGAGCAGCAAGTATTCAGAGGACACTCCCATTATTTTTGAGGAGCTGTACGCGCCCTGGGGACTATTTCAAGATTGAAGATGGCCTGGAAGGAAGCTGGTTTCTCCTGGCATGAAGGGAACAGAGCCAATGAGCCGTGGGGAGCTCTGGGCTGGGCAGTTGGATGGCAAAAGCAGAGCCTGGTGGCAGGATGGCTCTGAGGCTCTGAGGCTGTGAACAGGGTGGGGAGCAGTGCTGAGTGCTGGGCAGAGGAGGGTGGGACCAGCCTGGAAGGCGGAGCCTGGGGAGGGGCGGTCCCCCGGAAGGAGCCGGTTTCTAAAACCTCCTGTAAAACCTGGTAAACCTCACCTCTGGTTTTACAGAGGTAAAGTAGGTGAAGGGGGAGAGCAACTTGCCCAGAGTCCCACCGCTCAGAACTGCTGCTCAGATATCCACTGCTAAGCCTACCCCTCCTGCTGGCTGAGCTTTGGAAATGAAGAAGAGTGCCTTTCATACTGGGGTTGAATTAAACTTTTATTTTTGACTAGGTAATATATTCACATAGGTCAACCTTCCAAGGTACACAAAACTAAAGAGTGAAAAGCCTCCCTCTTTCTCTCCCTCCTTTCCGTGTACACCAGCAAGGTTATCAGATATTTGTGTATCCTTTCACATATTTTTATGCATAAGCACAGTGGCCCATTACATCCACTATGTGCTTTCTGCTTTCTTATCAATTTGTCTTGGAGTTCATTCTATAACAGCACATACAGAGCTTCCTTATTCTTTTTTTCTGGCAGCATGGTGTCCGTTTTTATAGATGTACCATCTTTTAATCAACCTTCTGTCGATGGATATAAAGGTTGTCCCTGATTTTCTTCTGTTATAAATAACGCTGTAGGGATGACCTTATATGTAGACCATTTTACACATGTACAAGGACATCTGTAGAAGTGGAATTACTGAGTCAGTGGGAATGTACAAAAATAACTTTGATATATGTTGCCAAATTGCCCCTTATAGCGGTATTACCAGCTTCTGAAACTCTACCAGTGTTGGATGATAGTTTGAACCAGGTACTTTTTTGGCCATTTCCTCCAAAAGATAATTTTAGAAATCATAAAGTAGGTAGCAAAGGATCCACCAACAGGCTACAGCATCCTCAGAGGGACAATCTCCTGTGACTGTCCCCTGGAATCTGGGCTTTTGGGATGCTCTCCGCATGGAATCCCCTTTATGGAGGGAGAGGCTTCAGAGACACACAATTTGGGACCAGTGGCTTTGAGTTGTGAGCAAACTGTGGTCATCCTGAAAGAGGTGTGATTGGCACTGCCAGATAGGTCTGAGAATGCCATCCTGGCAACAGAGAGAGCTTTGTGAAGAGACGGGACTAAGCACACATTCCCGAAGACATTTCAGATTGGCACATAATCTCCTGAGTCTTATGGCCTCCTCTTGGGGTAGTGAAGAGGATCTGATTCATTCTGCACCTCATTATTGGGTGCCTATGTTGAGTGATGGGCTTGGTCCTCATCCTTGTTTCAGGGGAGGGGCAATGAGCCAGCCGCACTGAACACAGCCACCTGGGGCCATAGTGAAAGCATATTTGACCTTAAGCCCTACACACTGAACACCCGGCTCCCGCTCCTGCCTGGGTCCCCTTTGCTGTAGGTATATGTAGGAATATGGTGGTCACAAGACTGAAGTTTTCAGTGCGGCGGGGGAACCAGCAAATTAAACCAAGCAGTATAAATTCACTTGCTAGGTGGCAAAGATCTGCAGATAAGCTAACATATGTGAGCGAACTCCAGAAAGTGCCAGTACTAAACCTGTTCAGGGATTTGCCTTGCTACACAAGTAAATCTGCTTCCCACTGTAACTCTTCACTTTGGTTGCTAGGTTATTGCTGGTATGTTCACATATCTTCAAAGTAGAGAAAAACAATTATGGTTACATGGAAATAGGAACACTTGAAAATGCATTATTAAATCGCTTCGTATTTTTCCTCTTCAATCATTTGGGGGGAATTGCTTCTTGGTTTAAGAATTTATTACCCACAACAGGGCATGAGTGTGACTCTGTCCCTCGTTTAAAATTTTGAAAATCTGGAAATTTGTCCCAAGTCCTGGGAACTCTGCCTCCCCAATCACTAAATGACAGGAAAATAAACCCAAACAAGTGATTTATGCTGGTACCATGGTAGAATGTCTGTATTTTTTCTTTAAAGGCTGTTTAAGTTCATGGAAACAGCATCTTTATTGATTTTCTCTGGCCTGGGCCATTCACGTGTTGGAGCAGGGCTAGGTTGGGTGGGTACAGGGGCATGTGCCAGTGTCCATATCTGCCATGTTCAGGAGTCACTGTCCTGTTTTTCAGATGACTTTGGAAAATTGCTCCTGGCCGAAGCCCTCCTGGAGCAGTATTTAAAAGAAAACAACACCAAGATAAAAGACTCCATTCCTTTGCTGGAGAAGAATGAGCCAAAGATGAATGACGCCAGAAGCTATCTGAGTAGTATCCTTAACCATGGGAAGCTGTCCGTAAGTTGTCAGCCTCCAAGCCTGGGGCGCCATCTCCTCTCCTGCTTCCTCTCTGCTGTCAAGCCCTCCTTGGGCCATTTGGTCACCTTAGCAGCAAGTGTCTCTTAAGGGTTGGCCTTATGCTGCTCAGTACAGTAGTCACTAGTCAAATGTGCACTTGAAATGTAGTGAGTCCAAATTGAGTGAGTCCAAATTACACTTGTGCTCTAAGTGTAAAACATACACTAGATTACAAAGACAGTACAAAATGAATAATGCAAACGATCATTAATTCTTTATGTTGATAACATGTTCCAATGATAATATTTTAGATAAATTTGGTTAAATAAAATGTTATTAAAATTAATTTTATCTATTTTTACCTTTTTAATGTGACTACAAAATTTAAATTACACATGTGACGTAAGTTGTATTTCTATTAGACATCACTTGGTTGACCTAGTATGTGCCTGGTCTTGCGAGCTCTCTGGGGTCTCAGGGAAATAAAACCTCAGTGAGCCCGAGATCTAGTTGGGAGCAGGCAAACATGCAGAGATGGCTAGTGACGGAAGAGCTCAATAACAAGACAAGCCAGGTTAAGTCCATGTGCATTTATTGAGCACCTACTGCATACAAGGCACTGAGGGGAGGTATAAAGGGAAGTATAGTCATAGCTTTCTCTGAACCTCAAAGTGTAGTCCACCCACCCATAGAATGGGCATCATCTGAGAGCTGGTTAGGAATACAAAATCTGAATTAGAAGCTGTACTTAACAAGCTCTCTGGGTGATTTATGTGCACACTAAAACTTGAGACTGTTCTAAATTACAGTGTATCCTGAGCAATAGTAGAGTCATTGGTATGTCATTAGAGACCCAAAGATGTAATTTTTCAAGAGATGTTCCACAGCGATATATTTATTGATTGCAACCTACTATATGAAAGGCATTGTGTTACGGACTTTGAGGGCAATAAAGATGAGTCGGCCTGACCCCTGTCCTCTGAGAGGTTGCAGGTCTACTGGGAAGATAAGCCTTATTGACAAATTGCCCGATGTGGACTGTGACACATGCCATAGGCATAGTGTACATGCAGAGGCAAGTCTGAGGGGGACACTCCCTGGGGTGAGGCCGGAGTCTACTCAGGGAAATGGTAGTACTAGCATTGGACCCTTGGGGGAGGGCTGGACCTTGAAGCATGAGGGGTATGGACATTCAGAGACAGGACAGGGCATTCCCAGCTATGGAAGCAGTGTGTAATCTAAGGGTTCCTCTTACAAGAATTTCATTAAAATATGTTAATTAGCAGGAGCAAAAGGAATGGTGGGTAATTAACGTTATAAAAGTACACCGGGACCAGAGAATGAGGACTAGAACACCAGACCAGGAAGTGTCCAGCTTTGTTATAAGCCGTGTGGGGAGAGTGTACTGGAAGTTTAAGGTTACTGCCTCTAGACTCCTCGACAAGAATTCTTGTAGCTCTAGGAGATTTTGTATCAGATTAAAATAGCTGGTTGACCCTGAGCATGTCCCCTGACCTCTTGGGCCCTCCAGTTCTAAATCTGCCTATCAAAAGGGTTGGACTTGATTGATGGGTCCTTAGCTTTTCCAAGACCCCTTTTAACGTTTTTCTTTACAAGAGACTCCTGTAAATATTTAAACATTGTTCTTAAATAAAAATGACTCCAGCTTATTGTAAAAACTTCACTACATAAACAAGTAGTTTGAATAATAAATAGAAGTCCTTGTTTGCTACCTGTGCTACCCCATGCCCATTCCTATCCCCAGAATTGAGCATTGGTCACCATTTGGTGTGTGTCCCACACTCCTTTCTATGTGGGTTAGGAAACACACATACATACATACAAAGCTTTCTTTTCTTATTAGAGTCATAGAACACATATTTGACAAGTTAGTTGTTCTTTTGCACCAAGAAGTTTCCCTTGGAGCTTTTGCCATGACAATACCTTATTCTTTGTATTGGCTGAATAGTATCCACATGTGTTGTCGTGAAAACCATTTTGTCTACCACATCACATTTATTAAGTACAAATTTTACCATGCCTTATTCATCAAAGACGTGTACAGGCACCAATAATATTGAGGAATTCCCCGTTATCCAGGCCAAAACCAAAAAACCTGATGTTGAAGAGGCAAAATAAAATATTAAAAGTAGTGTAAGGGACTCTATCTTACTCCAAAGGCCAAGGTGTGGCTGGGGGTGGGGAGTGATCTTTCCTGGCAACAGATGAAATCTCAGGTAGAGTCAGTCCCAGGTATACTGAGTAGCTCTGATGGGATGAGGAGAGTGGAGAGGTGGAGCCTGAGGCACCTCCTCAGGGTAGTTTGAAATCTACTCTCAGTAATCTCTAAGATCCTGTCTAGCTCAGTTCTGTGAGGCTGGTGAAAACAAACTATTTGTCACAACTTGTTATCCACTGAGTGCCAGGCATTGCACCATCTCATAGGGGCCTCACGGTAACCCTCTCAATGACATTTCCTACTATTCACATTTTCCAGGTGAGGAAACTGAGACCCAGAAGAGGTTAATCACTTAGCCAAGGACCACAGTAGCAGGTGCAGGACTTGAACACAGTCCAAGTTCTCATGTTTTTTTCCACTTCTTGGTACTGTCTCCTTGAGTCCTGGAGTGGAGCTAAAATAATGACAGAAGAACTCGGGTTAATTTTTAGTGATGATGCTTTTATAGGTCCCTTTTTGCCTCTAAAGTATTTCGTCGTCTGTCTCTCCTCTTACCTAGGTATCCACATGTGGTCATTCTTCCCTTTTTATTGACAGAGACAATGTGGCACAAAGACGAGGTGACCTGCCTGCTCCACACAGCAAAGGGATTATTCTATTCCCCAGACTGAGTGACTTCTTGTATAGCATCCTTCCACTGGGCCAGGGCTCCGTGGTTCCCTGACTATTGAATTGACAGGCCAAGAACTTTTCACATTCAAATGTGTGGGTCCCACAGAGTGTAGCCAACTTTTAATTCTGCCAAATATGGACATTAAAAAAAAAGAAAAAAAAACGAAACAGCAAAACTGTACCAACTACTATTACTATCACTCCATGAAAGAAAATACATCTTAACACCAAAAAGCAAGACAGATATGCTTTCAAAACTAGGGGTAGCTTTTTTAATAGTATAAATGTAGCTTTATGAAACATTCACCACATTGTCCTTAATTTTTCCCTAGCTCAATGGAAGCTCTGTTGTAAACTGTCATTAGTCCACCAGGAACCACCAAGCGTCACCCTGTCATCACACCCTGAAACTTGTTCTTCTGAGCTTAGCTGCCCCTTTCCCTGTTCATGGTAGAACAGGATAATAATAATAATTACTCATGCCCTGTGTTTATCAAGCTTCTTTCTAAAGAAAAGTTCAAAGCTCTTTTCTGGACTTTGCCCTATTTATGCTCTTAGTGTTGCTATGGTGGGAGGTGAGAGGTGGGTCTTATGATCTCACCCTCACAATGAGGAAAACAAGGCTGAGTAGGGAGGAAATGTACCTGTGGCTTGAGACCAATGGGGAGAATGGCAGAGATGCTGCCCATCTTTGAGGGACCATGGGTTGCATGCCTCTGGGGAGGAGTGTAATCTATGGCCCTAGCCCAGGGAGCGGGTGGCCTATTTGGGAAGACTAGCAAATGCCCTTGAAAAATTCAGCCTTTGAGAGTAAATCAATAGTTAGCATGTCAGGCAGGCAGAGGCCAAATGGGTCCACTTGGTAGAGGCACTATAGGAATTCAGCAGAAGGGAGCTCCCTGGTAGTCAGGGAGGCTTTCAGGAGGTGGTGGGCCTGAGCAAGACACCAAAGGATGGAAGAGGATCTAGATAGCTTGAGGGAAAAAGGAGTTTGTTCTGGATAGGGGGCCTGTGTGACCAAAGGCTAAGGAGGAATGTGTATTTACAAAATTGATAGGGAAAGGGAATTTGACTGTGCCATGCTCTTAATTGGCTTCGGGGCGGTGGGGGTGGGCAGTAGATAGTGGGGAGTGGTGGAGGTTTCCCCTGGGGTTGCATGTGCCCCAGCCTCTGATCTCTCTGAAGGGAGTCAGGGACAGCACCTTCCTGTTGGTGACAGGCCAGGAGTGGGGGCCATCTCCAGGGAACTCTGTGGACAGAATTGATGCTGTGTGGTTGGGACAGAGCCCAGAGCTTGGCCAAAGGGATGGTAGGCCAACTGAGCACAGAAATGGAGGCAGCAGGCTAGAGCAAGTGGCCTCAGAAGGTGGGAAGTCTTAGAGCCGGGCTGTGTGCACTTGGAAGGCTAGGACTCTCGGGCAGGGTCAACCACACCTCCATGGACCCTGAGGGAGGCCCCGAGAGTCTGTGTATGGGGACAGAGATTTGGGCATAAGCAGCACTTGAATAAGTAGGGCAGAGGGAACAGATTTGAATTCAAGCACTTGATTCTGCACTTTCACCTGTTTCTGATAAGATGAGGACAGTGGCCCAGCAGGCCTTTGCTCTCCTCTCTTCTGTTCCACGCTGCTATTGTGACCGTTGGGAGCTTCAGCTTTAGCCTTCTCACCTGCATGAGCTCTTTCCAAGGCCTTTCACCTAATTGTATGTTTGTTATATATGCGTGTATAGAGGACCCCCAAATTATAGAAGCTTAAGACTTCGCAAAACTTGGCTGGGTCCCTTGTGCTGAGAACAAATGCCCAAACCCCTCCTGAGTGCCAGCTTTGGGCTGAAGCCTCTGGGGGCTACAAGAAAGCGAAGACAGGGCCAAGTCTACAAGCTGCCTGCAGTCTAGCTGGGGACATAAGACACATACTCATGGAACAATTAAGGACTCATATAAGAATTTCAGTAAGCAGGCCATGGACTGCAGGTGTGGAGAGAAGGGAGTTGTTTGCCTGTGCTTGAGGATCAGGGCAGCCTTCTGGGAGGAGGAGAGGATTTCTGAGCAGGGTCTTAGGCAAATTATTGTGGCTCAGTGAGGGGGGTGTTCATCCCATGGTACCTGGTGGGGGTGAGGGTAGGCGCTTTAGGGCAGGAGCCTGCTAATGTGATCCTTGTCCTATCAGCCACAGTACATGCGTGAGGCCATGCTGATCCTGGGCAAGCTGCATTACGTGGAGGGCTCATACCGAGATGCCATCAGCATGTATGCACGGGCTGGGATTGATGACATGTCTGTGGAGAACAAGCCTCTGTATCAGATGCGGCTGCTGGCAGAGGCCTTTGTCATCAAAGGTAGGTGTGGATGCTGCCTGGGGCTCCCCATCCCCATGCCTAGTTTGTTACGTTCAGGCCCCCAATGCCAGGAGCAGGGGTCAGCTGTAGGGCAGCAGATGTTGTGTTGAAGGTGGGCCTGCTGGGCCAATGTCCAAGATACATCTCCCCTGGTAGTGCCCAGGCACTACCAGCCAGGTGGACACCAGTGGTCACATTCTGCCAGGCATGCTGGCAGATGGCAGGAACTAGGCCAGATGTCAGAAAACTTAGGTTCTCACCTTGGCTATGTTGACAACTAGTTACCCACTATGTGCCTTTGGGCAAGTGACCTCCTTACCTTTCTTAGCCTCAGTTGATTTATCTGCAAGACAGGGTTGTACCACCTGCCCTAGGTTACCATGACCTAGAGGAATCAATTGTGTAACCAGATTGAGAAAGGCTTAAAAAATGTGCCATCCCATTGTTAGGTTGGTGCCGGTTGCTGGCATTGGCTACAAATCGGGTACTCGATGATGTAAAGCGGTCTGTCACTCCTCAGGTATTTGTTAGGCACCTGCTGTGAGTGGCCCAGGGAGGTGGTGCCAGGATCCAGTGGTGGGCAGGTCAGGACCAATTCTGAAGGCAGGAGGTGCTCTGGTGGGGACCCAGGCACACAGGGTCAGTGATGTAGGAATTTTATGATGTGGGGAGCTATAGATGGCCTCACTGGGTTAATAGTGCCGTTGAACTATCCCCTGAAGTTATTTCATGTTAGTAAAACCCCTATCCCAAACTTTGTGCTTTAGGCTCATACATCCTAGACCTATAAGCCCTGGGATTACAGAGCCTGAGAGGTGACCCTTGGTGTCAGTGAGGTGTCAGGAACCCCTCTACCCCAGGATTCTTGAATGTTTGATCATTTCTCTATTCCAGCACAAACCAACCCCCAGAGGAAAGTGTAGAAATGTGTCCCTGTGAGGATTTGGCATCTGGCGTTGATAGAGTATTTGTTACCCTCTTTCCATCATAGATAGGGACATTCTTCCCATCTTACATATGGAGAAACTGAGGCCCAGAGAGGATACATACGTTGCCCAAAGTTACCCAGAGACTCGAAATGCAGCCAGGACTGGGCCTTGGAATATGAATCTCTCACCTGTATTCCTCTGTCTCTCTTGGGTCTCAGGAGATTGACTGTGACATCTCTACAGGGCACAGCCTTCGTGTCCCTGGTTGGTGGGGCTTTTTGAGGGTGTTGTTTGTCCACTGCTGGGTCCCTGGATCCCTCTCTCCATTGAAAGATTATTTATGCCATCCCAGGATTGTTTATGTCATCCCAGTTCTGGATGCTGGGACGTTCAAGATCAAGGTACCAGCAGGGTCAGGTGAGGGCTGTCTCCTCGGGTTGCAGATGGCCACCTTCTCACTGTGTCCTCACATGGCCTTTCCTCTGTGTGTGCATGGAGAGATCCCCTTCTCTTCCTCTTTTTATAAAGCCACTAACCCCACATGCTGAGAATGTCACCCTGGACCAACCTGGCATCAGCCAGCAATAGGGCAGGTGCCCATCTGGGATGGTCCAGTCTGTGAATTCTTCTCCCTATGCTCTCTTGTCCCCTTTTCTGGGCCCCTCGCACAGGACAGCCTTGAGGGTGATCTTCATTTGGCGTTTAGGTCTTTCAAGCCTCTTGGAAAACACTTCTGCCGTAGACTTCCTGAACCTAACACCCTTCCTTGGGGGTCCTTTCCAGCACTTTTTTCCTATAGATCTGGCTCGGTACCTACTGCTCCCTGTCTCCTGCTTTCTACTCTTTCCAGCACGCCTCCAGCTTCTTGGTGGTCAGAGTTCCTGCAGGGGAGGTAAGGAGCCGGGCACTGCGGTGTGGGCTGCTCAATCATAGGCTGTGCCAGCTCCCCGCCCCTCACTGACTTCACGCGGCCTCCCACTTGCCTGCCTCCTCTCTGCCTGTCCTCCCTGTCCTGTTGCAGTGACTGTGCCCTCTTGCTTGGCATGCTGAGGTTCACCCGACTTTGCATGTGCTTGAGACCATGCATGTGGCCTCCTGAGTGTGCATGGTGTTGATTTTCCTGGGTTTGGGGGACCCAGTGGGTTTTCCCATGAAGAGTAAGAGATAGGGATGGCTAGTCGTTGGTCCTGACACTTTTTATGAACAAGGGGACTCTCTTAGTTCAGGCTGCCATAACAAAATGCTATAGATCTGGTGGCTTAAACAGCAAGGATTTATTTCTCATAGTTCTGGATACTGGGACATTCAAGATCAAGGTGCCAGCAGGGTCAGGCGAGGACTGTCTCCTTGGGTTGCAGATGTCCACTGTGTCCTCACATGGCCTTTCCTCCATGTGTGTGTGTGTGTGTGTGTGTGTGTGTGTGTGTGTGTGTGTGCCGTAGAGAGATCCCCTTCTCTTCCTCTTTTTATAAAGCCACTAATCCCATCATAAGTCCCCACCCTCATGACCTCATCTAACCCTAATCATTACCTCTCAATGGTACCATCTCCAAATAGCATCACATTGGGGGGCAGGATTACAACATATGAATTTGGGGGCAATACAACTATTCAGTCCATAACAAGGATGGTAGAAGCAGGAGGCCACAGAGTTCACAGAATAATGATACTTGTTAAGCCCTCACTCTATGCCAGGTATGCCCTCACTGAATCCACTACACATCCCTCAGGTGGGTGTTCTCTTCATTCCCGTGTTACAGACCAGGAATTACGGTTGAAGAGCTGAAGGGACTCATTCGGATTTCATAGGAAGTGGCAGAGTTAGGATTTGAACCTAGGCAGCCAGAGCTCATAAAGGCCCTGTGGTTATACTGCTCAGAATTCTAGATTGAGAGGAATCATAGAAATGATCTAGGCCAATTTCTCATGTTACAGATGAGGAAACCGAGGCTGATAAAAGTGAAGCAACTTACCCAAGACATCAATTACCTAGTTTTTGAAATAGAATGTTTCACCCCCAGGCAGCCTCTGGGTTTCAGGCTCTGTCAGACTCCAGGTGGCCTGTGCAGGAGACGCCTTTCCTACTCCCAAGCACTCCACCTGGCCAGGCCCTTACACCACATCTTATTTGCCATGTTGCATTAGATTCTGCTCTGTGGTTCCTTTTGGTTCCATCCAGGAGGTAGGGAGTTTGGTTCTCAGGCACAGCTGGCTGGAGGGAGGAGGACAGGCCAGTGTATCTCAGGGAAGCCTGACCTGGCCAGGCCTGGAGGCTCAGTGGGGGTACTGTATGAGTGTCTCCGATGTAGAGTTCTTTTCCAGGGAGTCGGGAGCAGGCTCTGGGGCTCTTCACCGCTGCCCCTACAAGATATAAAAACACACTCGACTCGCCTGCTTTTGCCTTCAGAGTAGAGAGACTTGGCAGTTTGACCCTCTGAGGCCTCACTCACAGGACTCAGCCTTTCTCTAAACTCAGGGGGGATGGGAATTAGACCAGAAGGCACCCCTTGACTCTCAAGGAGGGCTTTAGACACCAACCCAGGGGCTCGAGACAGGGGGGCAGTTGCAGTAGTCTGGTTTTTTGTTTTGTTTTTTTTTGCCTGAAATACAGAAACACTGAGCACATTATGTGTGTACTGGATGGGGGGTACATGACCTCCAACTTCTCTAAGGGCAAAAAAGTTATTGTCCATGTCAAGTTTTTTCAGAAACAATATCAAAACCACAGATTTTTCACTAAGACAGAAAAATAAAATAGCTTCGTGGGGAGGCCTGTTGTTTGCCGGCCCGAGCAATCTGTGCCCAGCTCCCAGTACTCCTTGGCCCCCAGCGTTTTAGTCACACCTGTGCTCAGACTGACCCAATCCTCGCAGGGGTAGAAGACTGGATTTTAGGGCCTCTCAGTGGCACCCGGAGGTGGGCTGGGCCCTATGAGAGCTTCTGGCTTTGGAGGAAGAACTGCTTCATTCCAGGTCCCGCTCCAGCCAGCTTGACTTGTCTGTCACTCAGTAATGGGCCTGTCCTGTGGCCAGCTGCTCCCAAGTCACTTGCCAGCCCTGGGCAGAGCTGAAGGCCCTTCTCCTGCCTGTCAAAATCGCCTATTTAGCCCTTCATTCCTAAGTACCAATTTCTCGAGCCCCTCTACTATATCTGACTTCAGTGGCACATCCAGAAACGAGGTATGGACCCTTCTCTCTGGAACCTGAAGGTCTGTTGTGGGGTGGGGCAGGATTATCGCATGTATACCATCTTCCAGGAGCTTGATAGAAATGCAAGCTCTCAGGCCCCTCCGCAGATGTACTGAATCAGAATCTGCATATCACCTGCATCCCCAGTGATGTGTATGCACATTGTAGTTTGAGAAACTGCTACCCTGGAACTGTTGTTTAATAAATATTTGTTGACTGACAAATCTACCTTCAGTTCATCTCTGTAAGATGAGAGGTAGTTGTTATGCCCACTCTATGGATGGAGAAACTGAGGCTTGCCAGGTCACACAGTCTCTGTGTAGCAGAGCTTGGATTGGTGACCAGGTGGTTGTCTCCCAGCTCGCATCCTGCCTATGACAGAGGACCCCCAGAGGGTGATGGGGAACAGCTATAGTTACCTCCAAAATGAGTCTGTGCAGACAAGGAAGGTATAGGAGGCACAGGAGGCCAGAGAAAGAAAAGTTCCAGGCACGTCCTGTAGAGCCTGGAGGCCAGCCAGGAGGGATGATGCCTTTGGACACTGTCATTCTGTCCCTGAGGGTAGCCCAGAGGAGCCATAATTGGGCTTTGTGGGGATAGGAGACTTTAGCCTCTCCCGGCCTCCTATAGCCCCGAATAGGAGCTGGAGCCCTGTGCCACTATCCCATGGATCTGCTTAGCACAGAAGCAGCCGGGGCTGTGGTATGGGTGGGTGAGTTGTCCAGAAAATTTGCTTTCTTGTGTCAATATCAGTTACCTTAGCTCAGAATGGGGAGCCTGCCCCACTCCTACCCTATTCCTCAGGCCCTGCTGTGGTCCCATTGTGACCTCTTAGCTCCCTGACCAAGCATATCGGACCAGGGGATGGCCCTGGGAAAGGAAA